CTCCCTCCCTCCCCTCTCTCTCCCTCCCTCCCCTCTGCCTCTCCTCTCTCTCTCTCCCTTCTTTTAACAAAATATAAATATTATGTAGACATGTAGTTAATGCATTAATTTTAGAGAGACCAGCTAAAACAGACATGCAAACATATGCTGTCTCTTCCATGAAAGATTTAACTAATTTTATTATTTACATTCCAGAATGTGCAGAGATGCAGAGACTGTATGATGAGAAAGAAAAAAATGATATATATTCTCCAGATTTTTCTGCAGACTCTTCTTCCTTTGCTACATCTGCTATAGCTGACCAACAATATACAAACTCTTCATCTGAGAGATATGAAATTCCGAATATAGATTCTCTCTCATCTACCTCAAAAGGATTTCCTGACTCTAATTCTGGTAGACCAGATGTCACTGGATTTCCCTTAATAAACAGGGAGAAGTACCAATCATACAAACATGAACATGAACAAACAGAACCTTTTGATTTATCAATAAATGACCTTGATCAGGAAAGTATAAACAAAAATAAATTTGATGGAGATCAGAATCTGAAATTATCAGATTATCACCAGGATCAACATGCACATCTTGTATCTCCTCCAAGCAATGCCACAGGCGAGGCACTTGAACTAGACCAAAATCAGCACACTCCAATCATAGTCTGGTCATCCTGGAATAAATTGCCATTATCAACTACATCCCCCCTTCAACTTCAACCATCATCACCTCTTGACTCAACTATAACTGAAATAACCTCAAAAGAGATACCAGATACTATTCAGGGAACAGAAGGAACCAGTGTGAACATTCAGAGTCATTCTCTCTCCCATCAAAGTAATCTTCAGCCTGCCCCAATGGAGACTACACTAGGCACTCCTCTTTGTTTTCCATCTCCATCGTCAGTCACTGAAGACCAAATGAATACAAGCCCATTTGGGGTTTCACCTTCAAGTTATGTTGATATGGATGGAATCAATAAAGATGGTGGGCTTAAAGTGAGTGTAGACAATAACACATCCATAGACGCTAGTACAAGAGAGAAATCAAATGGAGAAGGTAAGAAAGTTTATTTATTTATTTATTATTATTATTATTATATATATATATATTTTTTTTTTTTTCTTCTTTTTTTTTTTCTTTTTTTTTCCCACAAAGAAGTCACTTTTATCATATATTCAGTTGTTGTTTTTACATCATTCCCTTGTTACTTATTCTGCACACATTTCCTTTTACTCTAACACAAAAGGATATTAGGGTATCAAATAATTTTGTCAACCTAACATTGATTTTCTGTAATTTTCATACTTAAAGGTAAGTTATTCCTCTCTCTCTCTCTCTCTCTCTCTCTCTCTTCTCTCTCTCTCTCTCTCTCTCTCTCTCTCTCTCTCTCTCTCTCTCTCTCTCTCTCTCTCTCTCTCACTCTCACTCTCACTTCACTCTCACTCTCACTCTCACTCTCACTCTCTCTCTCCTCTCCCTCTCTCCTCCCCACTTTCTCTCTCTCTCTGTGTCTTCCCTGTCTTTCTCTCTTTCTCTCACTTTTTCCCTTTTTTTTCTCTCTCCCTCTCCCTCTCCTTCTATACAGTCAAAGTTAGTTCCCATATCCAACTGGAAGTAGGGAAGATGTCAGTAGGGGAAAATGCACACTAAATCACAGGATAATGTGCTTTGGTAGCAAGTTCCTTTAAGCACAGACTTTAACCCCAGCATGCTGATGCTAATACTCACTCACAGCTGAGTTGGCTAAAAGGGACTGGCCAGGTGTGAACGTGATACCTTGCAACTGTAGTGTGAATTTTTGTACCATTGAGCTGTGCCAACTTCATTTCTGTACAATATCAGATATTAATTTAAAACTAATATGTGAACAAAGTTTAAGAATGTTTTTCAGTTACTACAGCACAAGAGTTTGCTAACGGTGTACTCGTTTCTATTTTACAATATTTATGTATTTTCCTTTCATCAAAAGAGTAGCATGCATTCAAATACATTTGAGGCTCTAGCTTTAGTCTAAGATTCAGATTGAATCAATAATAGTTTATGGATCTGTCTAGACAGTTCATTCTCATTAGGACAACTTGCAAAGATATATTTCTTCAAAGATATAATTTAGGTGTTGAATTGATTTTGATAGAGAGACTAAAAGGGATATACAGAGTAAGTTGATGTTGACTCTTCCACTTCTGATTTAACTTGTTCTTTTATTTGAATTTCAGAATATAATGAGATGCAGAGAGTGATTCGGGGGAAAGAAAGAAGTGATACATATTCTGCAGTATTTTATACCAATTATTCTTCCTCTGCTACTTCTGCTACTATTGACCACCATTTTATAAATACCTCCTCTGAGGGTTATGTTCCAAATATAGGTTCACTTCCATCAACCTCAAAAGAATTTCCAAAAGATCATAATTTACTGTTGCATCAGCATTCAGAGAGTATTGAGTATATCCATGCTATTTCTTTTGGTAGGTCAGATGTCACTATGTTTCACTCATTAAACTCAAAACAGTACCAGTCAAACAAACCCCAGCATGAAAAAAAGGAACCTTTTGACACTCCAATAATTGACTGTACTCAGGAAAGTACAAACAAAAATCAATTTGATAAAGATCAAAACCAGAAATTCTCTGAGAGGGCTCCTATCCAGGGCCAAAATGCACAGCTCGTAACCCCACCAAGCAGTTCCACATCAGGTGAGGCACTAGGTCTAGCCCAGAATTCATCCAAATCCTTACTTGACCCTCAGCCATCATCACTTTATGACTCGACTGCAGGTGTGATAACATCTTCAGAGGAGATCTCAGATACTGTTCAGGGAGATGAAGGAAGCAGTACAAACATTCAAAGTCATTCTCTTTGCCAACCACTTAAGCTTCAGCCTGCCCCAACTGAGACTGTACAAGGGATTCCTATTAGGTTTCCATCTCCATCATCAGCTACAGAAGATCAAATGAATTCAAGCCCTTCTGGAGTTTCACCCTCAAGTTATGTTAATACAGATGGAATCAGCAAGGAAAATGGTGGGCTGACTTTGACTGGAGCTGATGACACATCTATTGGAACAAGTCTAAGAAAAGAATTAAATAAAGAAGGTAAGAAGTCTTGATGGTCTTCAGGCTGCAAAAGAAATTCACCCCCCCCCCCCACACACACACACACACAGTCACTCACTCACTCACTCACTCTCTCAATTACTCCATCACTCACTCACTCAATCATTCACACACACATACTTTTATATATATATATATAATATATATATATATATATATATATATATATTATATATATATATAATATTATATATATATATTATAATTTTTTTTTTTTTTTTTTTTTTTTTTTTTTTTTTTTTTTTTTTGTATTTAAAAGATGTGCTCCTTTTTACTTCAATACAAAAGAAAAGTTGGCTTTTGAAACAACATTGTGCATCCAGATTTTCAGTCTGACATGGTTTTTCTTTCATCTGAAAGACTGTTCATAGATACATTATCATAACAGACTACCATTTTGGTGGCAGTATATAATTATGTAGTAATGTATGTAATGGCCATCTTCAGGGAAAGTAACAACCTTGCATTCTTATCTAACAACTCTTCAGCTGAAATAATAAATGCATACCATATGTGAAGCTTTGCAATGAAAATAATTTTAGAAATGCCTTTTTTTATCTAAGTTGACTCTTGTTTCTTTCTCTCTTCTTTTTTTACAGGTGTTTTAGAGCCCATCCAAACTAAGATATTAAAGTATAAAGATGGCAGGAAAAGAATGTTTATGGTTTTACAAAGGTCTTCTTTTGAATTAATGAAAGATAAAGGACTCATTCAACCAGTAAAGGCATGTAAGTCTATATTGGAAATTAATATTACTTTCTCTTTCAAAAGTACATTTAGAATGTTGCTCTTCAAAAATAGCCATGGCAATAGCATTCCTATATATATATGTTATTTTTCATGTTGCAGATCCAAATGGCCAAATCCTGCCAGTCACTAAAGATGAAATAGAATCTTCAAAAACTTTATTGCCACCCTCCCATCAGCCTGAGGATATAGAGAAAATACAATATAAATCTATCACTCAGCTGGAAGGTCTAGAAGAACTGCCAGATTCTATGGAAGATATTCGAAAACTACCGATACCTGGCAGCTATGAATCTCAGCATCCTCTCCGAGCTCCTCAAAGGTCCTTCAGTCCATTCACATTGGAATGGTCTGACAACCCATTTTTTACACCTATAAAACAAACTCCTGTTGTTGTAACTTGGTCGGCTACCAGTGTTTCAGATTCCCCAGCACTTACTTTCACCATTCAGCTGCCAAGCAAAATGAATAATTCTTCATTCAAATTACACTCTGCCACAATCAATAGCAAACAAAGCAATGTTATTCCTTCAGGTGCTTCAAACCATTATGCTTTACCACCCAGGTCTATGATCAGACCACAACTTTCAACAGAGATCCCTAGCACTTCTTCACAATCTCTTGCATTATATACAAACAAACCACCCAGCATAGTTGCAGAAGATCTCTCTCAAATGCCTGACATGTACCCACCCTCCCCTAGTAATTTTCATGAATGGGAACAAGATGTGAATCACAACAGTTCTAAAGGATCAAAAGTATTAAAGATCAGTGATAAAGGTATTGGGGAAAGACAAAATCTTGTCAGGAAGAATATTCTTTGGTTGGCAAATAAGGAAGGCGCCTCACAGTTAAGAGAGGAGGATGTAAAGCAGCTGTCTGAGAAAGCAAGGAATCATAATAAAGGTAAATATCTCTGACGAACATCCACATATACTTTGTTGTATTTACTGATAGTAAGTAGTTGAGAAAGAGTGAATGTATAAATAGTAAAATGTATTTTAGTGTTTTTAGGTTCATCTCCAGTTACTATATACAAATATCATATGGTAAAATTACAGGAAAACAGTAACTCCCTTTTTTATCACTGTCAATGCTATTTTAATTATCATCATTATCATCAGTATCACACCTATTATTATTAAAACTGTTGGTATTATTTATGAGTATTTCTTTATATCTGCCCCCTCCCAATACCTTGCTCGTTGTCGTGGGATGGCTTAGGAGACAGAGACAGGCCCAATGTAGGGGATCACTGCTACCTTGGGCCTCAGCTTGGACTTTCCTTCTCTCTTCTCCTTTTCCGTATCTTCTTCATCCCCTTTTTCTATCCCATTCCAAAGGTGTGAGAGTCGTGCTGAGAGGATGAAAGGCTGGCTTTGTGTCAGTCATGAACGGCCTCCGAGAGCCATGGGCACAGTATTCCCTTGGTTAATTGCTTACCCCATACCCGTTATGGGGACCCTGAGGGGTAGACCATTTCTTTTCCCCATTTTATTCAGGCTCACTATAGCCAATAATGAAGATTCTTTACCCTTAAAAAGGGCATTAAGGCTTGCCCCTTTACCAACTAGACTATCTAAATTTAATTTTAATGATTTTCCGACCCCTGCCATTCCTTTGACCACGGCTCCAACCACTGATACTAATACCCCCTCTTTGACACTTACGAACAATTAACCATTCCAAAACACCCACCCAGGTTATTACTCAACCTGCAGAATGCACCTCTTCCTCTCTCCCAACATTCTCTTCTCCATTTCCTACTGCACAATCCTCTTCAATATCTACCCTCCTCTTCCCATATTACTACTCTTCATCCTTATTGTCCTCCCCCCTACAGAATTACTCCACTCCAAACCACCCCATCTTCCTCTCGCCCTCGTCCTTCTACTGCCTCTACCTCTGCAAACCTCCTGAGTACTCTCTTTGGCACAGCCAAGTGGGATCAATTCTTTGTGATTCCCCATACAGCCCCCTATTCTGAGAATACCCTTCTCTTTCAACAGTGCCTCCAGTAACAATAAGGCAAGGTTACCTTTTGCAGTCACTCTGATCATTCACACCTTGTCACAATTGTTTCTATCCCCCCAAATGCTTGTCCTATCTATAACAAGGACTGGTCAGACTGTGATAATGACCTACTTACCTGCCTTGCTGAATATGATTGGCAGTACAGTGTTACACTATTCCTCCCAGAGGCCAGCATAAGTCCCTCATCAATATTGCCAAGATTAACTTCCATAGACATGACCTCCCCCATGAGGTATGTATGGGTGGATTGTCTTAGCATGTCCAACCATATCAACCCCTTCCTCGTCAGTGTCAGAAATGTTGGCGTTTTGGCCACCCAGCCAAACACTGTCGCTCCACAGCCCGCTATGTGCCCAACCTGGTCACGAGTGTTCAAATTGCCCTGCTCAGTCATGTACATGTGCTAACTGTAGAGACTCCCATAATGTATTTTATAGGAGCTGCCCTGCCTGTAAGCTCAAATGTGAGCTAGCAATTCTCAGATTTAAACTAGGCCTCACTCTAAATAAGGCTAACAAGAAGCACGTGGTTTTTCTCTCTCAACTTATTCCAAGAAGTACTTCTTTCCTCTCCCACCATCTCACTAGATATTTATGCATCTCCCCCTAGTATCTTCCCCTATACCCTAAACATCTACTCACCCTATCCCCCAGTCAAATTTGTTTTCCAGTCTAAATCCAGATACTCTAATCTCTACCACTTCCCCAATACCTACCCCTCCTCCTCACTTTATTTGTTGTACCCGGCAACCTAAACGTTCCACTCAGCCCTCTCCTACTACATTCTTTCCTACACCTTCCTCTTCTTCTGCTCTGCAGATATCTATCTCCTCTTATCCTCATAAGAGAACCTTTGTGTTTCAGTCCTCTTCACCCAACTCCCCTCCAGAAACCTTTGAAGACAACAAAAACTTCCTAAAGATGACCCAATGGAACACTCCACTCCCTCACCCACTCCCCAATCCCTCTGTTACTGCTCCTACATATCCATCCTCCTCCTCCTCAAGTTCCCTCCACCCCTCTACCTCCTACATCTTCCCTACATACCCCACCCTCTCTACCACTCCCACTTGAATACTCACATGGATCCCCTCTATCATGACCGTGTCCTTTTCCAGACCCCTCCCCTCCAGACATTCTTCCTGATACTTCACCTTCCCAAGTCCCCCTTTCTCCCCAAAATTCTTTTCTGACTTCTCCAACAGCTACCTCTGTTTTCTTTGCACAATGTCCCTATTCCTTCCCCAGTCACAGATAAAATGCAATTCACTCAATCACTCTACCCCCTTAACCTTTCCTATTTTACCTGGCAGTAACCATACTTTCCTATAACACCCTCTAATCTTTGACATCTAATAACCTCTCCTTTCCCCTGATTCTCTTACTTTTTCAACAGCCATCTCTATTTTTCTTCAGACATTGTCCCTTCTTACTAATCTCCACTCTAGTTCACTTAATCCCCTTTTTTCCCTTTTCACAACCCTACTATCCTATTACACTCTCTAATCTTTGATATCTAACACATTTTATCGTAATCTTTGACTCTTTTTTACCCATTCTGATACAATACTTTACCATAGTGCTATATGACCTTTGATGTCTAGCACATTTGTTTCAAAAATTAAACATTTATATCTGCCTTTACAGACTTTGAGGCAACGAAACATCAGTTGAAGAGAAGATACAGCCGTTTGCTAAATAAACACAGCCAAAAATATAATGGACTTCTCAAAAAGTATAGAAACCTTGAGAGGACTTATAACATTGTTGAAGATGCAGGCAGTAGAGAGCAAATAATTAGAGATGCTAAAAAGTTCCTTTCAGAAGAACATGCTATGTTCTTGGAAAGCCAGTTGTTCCTGAAAAACAGAGCAGGGAAAGGCAATAGGTTTTCCAAGAAATTCCTGAAGTATGTCATAGGCATATATGAACGAAGTCCAGCTGGGTATAGATTTTTAAGGACTATCTTCACTATGCCATCTGTCAGAACTATCCACAAATGGCAGAATCGTTCCAATAAAAATGTTGCCAAAGGTATAGTTGACCAGGACAATGTAATGGAAATGTCAGGAACTTATGGAGATATTGAATCATTTGCAGACATGTTGCAGATGGGACCAATGCCTTCAGGCCATGAGGAAACTGAAGTGAGCAACCCTGAAAGTTTCCAAGAACTGATCAATATACCCCCACCAGATTTTTATGAAAATAATGGTGCTCTATTTTGGGAGGATTCTCAAGTAGGTTTTGAGGTTCCTCAGCAATTTGTACAACCACAAGAACAAGTAGTACAAAGTGGATGCGAAGTGGAATATATTCAAAATGTAGATGATGCATATATGCTAACCCAGTTGTAAAATTAAATAATTTCCTTTTGATAAAGCACCTACTATTCTTTCTCTGCACATTTTAAAAACAGCCAGTCATCCATATAAAATGCTCTATATTAATGCAGATGCCTGATATTTGATTTTATTTACAGTACAAGCATCTTTGTAGATCAAAAAGAAGTGATAAATGCTCAATCATATTTGCTCTCCTCCTATACCAGTAAATAGCTTACAAGTGAAATTACAAGCACAAGCACTATGCATACCAAGTATTCATTGAAGAAAGTGTATGCGACCTGTGATCTGAAATCTATCAGTTGGTAAGATTAAGCAAATCAGGAGCAGATTTCTTTAGTTAGTGACTGCTTTTGTTTTGTGTGATTTAAACAATTATTAAATGCTACAAGTAGTATGAATATTACATTTGCAACAAATCGATGAAACATTATCTTTTTCAGTTTTGTAAGTGAGTATAAATTACTGGAACAACCCAGTTTTCATAGAACTTATCCAGGAAGAATCAGACAATAAATAAAGATTTCTGTATCTTTCATCTTCAAAAAGATTGGAATTATAGATTGAATATACAGTTTTGTTATTGGAAAAATAAATATTTTATTTTAATTGTTAAATGCAACATTAGTGGCAAAAACTCTTGAGAGACTGTAACACCAGTGAAGATAAATGGTGAAATCAAGGAAGATGAAATAAGGAAAGTGAAAAAAGCATATAAATAAGGAAAGTGAAAAAAAGCATATAGACTTGTATAAGAATTGGGGCTCATTAACCCACTGTTGACGGAATAGCAAGAATATATGTTGAAGTCTATTGTTTTTGTTTATTGATAATCTTTCCACATAGATGGCTCAACAAGTTCTTAGTCATTACAAAGCCAATCACTAGTCCTACCTAGACCACCTCTTTACCCATTTCCTTGATTTCTGGAAAGATTTTTGAAATAAATTTTGTTATTAGTATTGTTAAAAATATGAAAATCATTGTCAACAGCAGTATTAACAAAATTTATATTCATAGCATTAGAAAAATAATATTTTCCCCATAAACACTGGCTTATTTATTAGCTCCTTGGCTACCAAGGATTTGTGGAGCTATCTATGTGAAAACAAATTTCACAAGAGAAATGGTTAGTTGACACCATTGGGTTAAGGTTAATGAATTTGAAGGGCTGAAGCTTTTCTCATTTTATTTGAAGCAAATTCTGTAAAAATATGAGAGCTGATGTTACTAACTGCTATTTCTGAAATTTAATAATGTAAGAATAAAAGAAAAACTACTCGCCCATTATTTTTTTTCCATGTTATGGGAACCTTTTTAGGTTTTTGTTGTTCATTTCTTACTTTGCTCAAAAGTGAACGAAGAGAGTTAAACACTGTTTAGCAGTTTGTCTTGGAATGGCCACTTAGAACTCCTGTATAATTTATGGAATCAAATCAAAAGTGTGGCATTGGTTCAAATAGTTCAAATGAGAAAAGGAACATAATTTATTACAGCATAAAGTATGTGTCAATCTATTTTACAACTTAAGACACAGGAGAAATAATGAGAAATGCAGATGAAAGCTGTTTTAACAAGGTATATGTGCAGTCTAATGGCTTTTAAGTTCCACTTTAGAGGAAATCATAAGTATCTTCAAGTAATTCTTCACTCAAAAGAGGCAATACACTGATTTTATGATACTAGTAGTCAATAGAGTTATACTAGTTTGGCACAATATGAATAATACTTATTCTAAACATAAAAAGTTATTTGAGTTTAAATGCACATTAGTATAAAAGTATGTTGATACTTTTGGTACCTTATTATTGCCACTGAGAAAGTCAAGTCATAAAAAATTGTTAGTTATGTGTTTAGATATCATGAACACTCATGTGCAGTATCAGAACTTGCATCTTCTTCGTAATGCTATCTTTCTTATTTGTTTTTTATTGCTTTGCCATTTTCCAAAGTATGTCTTGGTTATTTATGCTGAATCAAGATGGTAATACTGTTTCCCTTGAGACTGTATTATAATCTTTAGGTAATCTACATCCTTGTGTAATAACAAAAACAATAAGTAATTGCATTATCTGTTTTATTTTTGCATTATTTTTTTGTTAAATTTTTTGTAACACCTAGTATTAGAGTCAAAGTGGACAGGAATAGGATCGTGAGCATGAAAATAATGTCCTATGAGCCAGTGCTCTTCCAGGCACAGCTCATAGATGGTCATTCCACCCTTGTTTACCAGTGGAAATGATGCAAGAGTCCCTTCCTAAATGCCCAATGAGTCTAGTCTTCCAGCATGAGTTTTTTTCACTTAAGGCAAGATATTCCTATTACTCACTACTTGACAACATCTTAAGATAAGTCATTCCCGTCACCCTCGCCCTCAGCCCAATTTTTGAATGAAGGCCTATTCCCGCCACCTGGACCTCAGCCAAATTCTGTCTTGATGTGGTAAAACTCAGATTCAATGGCTTAAAGTACCATTTAACTAAAATGGGTTCAAATTATTAGCTGCGAGTTTTCTTTTAACTTTTGATTCTTAGTATTTTTTTAAAATAAATTAATTTGTTTGACTTTGGAAGTCCAGTTACAATCTACTGCAAAATACTCTATACTTTTCAGTCTTAGAGTATTTTACAATATAATGACAAAAAATCTATTAGTTCATTTGAATGTAGAAGTCCAATAACATATGGGCAAAAAGCAAATAATTATTAATAAATGTATGTTTATTGTACTGTATGAACATTTTTTTCATACAAGTCTGATATATATTCACAAAAAAATGTATATAATAAATCTATAAGCATAGTACAAAGTTTTATATTCGTATATCTTTATCTATATATCTACAACTATGTAATGTACAAATATATATATTTTTTAACATGGTGATGAGTATCCATGCAATGATAACGGTGACATGGTATTTAGGTAGCTGAAAATATGCATAATCTTACATGCATGTATTATATATACAAGTAATATTGTTTAGCTGACAACAAACACTTACATCTCTCAAACATTTCAATAAAATTGTATTGTACACTATTTTCCACAATCAACAATTTCCTTCAGTTCTCTTTAATTACATTTACTCAATCAATATTAGTTTTCTTATCTGCTTGTCTAATAATGGACATCAGCTCAAGAATGAAATCTTTGTCCTTTGGTGAATAGCGAGCCAAGAACCTGTCTTCCATGTAAACTAGTTCTGTGTAAGTCAGGTCTGGCCGCTGTCCCTTGTTCCTTTCCCACTCAACAGCCACCATGTCCAGCAAACTCTCTAATAGAAATAACTTGGCCATATCTTCCGAAGCAAAGTCCAGTGTGCTAAGATCCAAACCATATGTGTAGCCTGCAGCCTGGACACATAGCCAGTTCTCCAAGCACAACTGTTTATCTTCAGGATTGTGCTTTCCTGACCACATCTCTGGATGGTGTGGTTCACAATTCAGGTGCATATTGCATGCTTTGCGCCAAACTGGATAGTTTACTTCATGTATAAATTTTAAAGTGTACCCTAACGACTGAGACAGAGCAAACTTGGTAAGGTCATGACGCTCAATTACCTCTTCTGGTAACTCTTTCATAAACTGTGACAACCTCAGATAACTCTGCTTTACCCAGTACCTGTGGATATTTACAGCACTGAAATGTTTTTGCAAGTTGAAATCTTCCCATAGTATTTGCAGTACAAGATCATCATCCAGCATAATTTGTTCTTCACTATCATCTTCTATTGGTGGATGAAATACTGACACCCATTTCACTTGTTTTTCTTCAATGAAGCCTTCACTTACTGCTTTTTTTAGCAGAAGCTTCTCTGCATACTGCCTGAATTTAGCATTCCAGATTTCTGTTACCACACGGCATACTGTAATGAAATAAGCAATGTCATGTCCTCGCTGAATCATCTCCTCACTTGGTTTACCACTGAATTTACTGCTGCCTTTCTCCACCTCATTGGCCAGTTTTACCTGTCTAGCAACTTCAGCCTTCTTCTGATTTTCAATCTGACAAGCAATAACTGCATGTCTGTCTTGAGGAATGGTTGATAATAACTTTTTTTCCCTTTCTGACAGAGTAATATCATTCCAGCTTTTGTCAGACAAAATTATGTTTTGGATCAGATTATGAACTATTTGATGCTGGACTGGACTGTATCTCTGCAAAAATTTGTCATCCATATACACAAGTTCCCTGGTAGTTATGTCAAGGCGCTGACCCTTCTTCCTTTCCCACTCAACAGCAACCATATCCAAGAAGCTTTCCTGTAAAAATGGTTCTGCAAAATCCTGCGACTGCAGATCAAGATTATTAATATCAATACCATATGGGCAGCCATTTCGAAAATCACATACATCTGTTAGCCAACATTCCAGCTTCTTTCTCTTTTCTTCTGGTGTAGGAGACTTCCAGACTTGAGGATGATGGGGTTCATTGTTCAGGTGAAGATCACAAGCACTCTTCCATATCTGATTATATACATTGTGTACCCATTTCAGTGTGTATCCAACTGCTTGGCTGAAAGCAAACTTACTGAGATCATGACGACTTATCATTTCAGCAGATAGGAGTGGTAGGAATGTCTTCAGCCGATCATATGATCTTTGAATCCATAGACGATGAAACCAGGTATCATAGAAGTGCTGCTTCATATTGAATCTGTTCCAAATTAGCTCAATGATGGCTTCATCCTGGTCGTCTATGACCCAATCAAAATCTGAGGCCTCTTCAACGCAACAACCCTCAAGAACAAAAACCCATCGAAGGTGAGACTCTTTCAGGTAATCCATTTGTACTGCCTTGTTCAGTATTACTTTTTCTGCATGTTGTCGCATTTTGGGAGACCAAATTTCCATTATCAACTTTGCAATTGCAAGAGGCTCAGCACTTTCCCTAGCCTTCTTCATCTGGTCCATTCGCTTTTCCTGTATTTCTTCATGTGTCCTGGGTTTGGAATGTCTTCTAAACTTTGATCCATTTCGAAATAATCGTTCTTCTTCTATAAGCCTGGACATTTCCATAAGCTTCTCTCCTTCTCCCTTCAATGTTTCAGGTAATGTTAGGAGCATTAAATCTACAGTAGAAAACTCCATTTTACAGATTTTTATCAAGGAAAAGGTCTTGAATAAGTAAATTGTGGTGCAAAATACTGAAATAACTAACTCTGGTGGGAGATAAAATGAGTACCTGAAGATAAACTTTTCACTTAAAACTTTTTCCTTGATGAAGGATAGACCGTTCAAGAGTTCCTTGGCTCTCAGGATCTCTTCAGAGTGAAAGACGAGGTAGAGGTCCTTGGCACTCAGGACCTCATTGTTCTCTGTCTTCAGGTACTAATGGTCCTGGAAAATAATATGAATATTTTAGTTTTCTTTCATTTTGGTACAATAAGTACAAAACAAACAATGGTACAATAAGTACAAAACAAAGAAAGCCTTTCACTGCTAGGGAAAAAAAAAATTTTTGCCTACTACTACTACCTGAATTGCTTGACCTAAAGTGCACACAGAGTAAGTAACTCTCATAAATTGCACTTTATTCAGAATGAGTAATTATATAAGTCACCTGCTATTCAAAGGATTGGATTTTAAAAATTGCTTGTGCTAAAAAAGAAAACAGCAACTTCTATAAGTACTTTTCAAGTTATAGCATAAATAGAGAACTATGCTCTAAATTAATTAATTGACTAATTAACTGAAAGATAGGTAGATAGATGTCTTTTCTACTACAATCCCAGGTAAGAATATATTGTATAGATATTCATAATCAGCTAGGCTTAATAGTATCTTGCTAAAAAGTAATAATTTTCCTATAGTTAATTAACATGAAGTTACAGATCTGCCCATTGACAATGAATTTCTGTAAAACTAAATCAGCATTCACCCACTAAAAGGTCCATTACTTTAGAACATCCAATGGTATCCAAATAAATGCAGAGACAGATAACAACAGGCCTAGCTGATAGCACTGACTCATACACATTGTCTTATTCCTTGTTCATAGGGAATTTGGATATTACATCTATTATATTTTTAACTACTGTTATTAGATTTGATAATTACAATAGATATCTTCTTAGGCTGTTTAAACATCTGCCATGCCAGATGCACTTATCATTGATATAGTGCAAATGCATGAAAAAAAGCAGATATAGACAACAAAACTCTTAATACTCATGCTGGAAAAATAAACCATAAATATTGCTTACAGCAAAGGCATTATATATTAACATGCTTCCAGTCAATTAGCACCATTAGCTAAGCATGTTTGAAGGTACCTGCATATAGCTAAATGCCACTGGAACTACTAAACAAATTGCCAGATTTCAGCATCCTTAATTATTGCCATTTTCTTTATATTGATAAAGTATACTTTTCTAAAGCATTGGACCTTTTCTATTTTCATATATCAATTACAAAAAGTGGAAAAAAGAACTACAAGCCAATTTGGGGGAATCGGTTTCAGAGGGGTGTGGTCACTTCATAAATAATTACCATAACCAAATTCTTAATTGACAATATATATGCAGCTACAAAAATTAATGGTAAATATGTAGCATCTCTCTATTGCAAGAAAATTTGGTAATTTGTCATAAGACATATACATTTGTATACAATTATAGAATATTCTCAATTTTTT